AATAGTTGCAAAATGTCTTGACATTGCCACATGTCCCAGGAGGTGAGGGGCGAGAAAATCTGTCCTTCCTACTTCTCCAGCTGAGAACTACTGCTGTACATGAAACTTTTTTTTAAGTGTGTTTCATATGATTTATCTAAGCCAATACCAGGAATTTAATTTATTCAATGACCAGCAATTTATTGAGTAACTATTTTGTATCAGACACTGTTGTAGACACAACATCATAGCCTGTGCTTTCTCTGTTGAGACAGGATCTCACTCTGTTACCCAGGCTGGAGTGCAGTGGCTATCATAGCTTACTGTAACCTCCAACTGCAGGGCTCAAGTGATCCTCCCACTTCAGCCTGCCAAGTACCTGGAACTACAAGTACATGCCCAACTAAGTTTTCTAACTCTTGTAGAGACAGGTTCTCACTATGTTGGCCAGGCTGGTCTTAAACTCCTGGCCTCAAGTGATCCTCCTGCCTTGGCCTCCGAAAGTGCTGAGACTATAGGCATGAGCCACCACACTGAGCCAAAGCCTGTGCTTTCTTAATGCTATATTTCAGTGGGGGGAAATGGACAATACATTTAAAAAGGTGTACTACTTCCAACTTCCAAAGAAGGGTGTAGGTTGGTCATAGGGCTCCTCTCTGATGACTTTGAACAAAGTCTTGAAAGAAGCAAGAGAATGAGCCACATAAGAGGAAGCATCAGGAGCAGGAGGTGAAGCCATTGGAGGCCTGTATTCATCTCACCTTTCTGTCTGCAGGTCTGATCAAGCTCCTTTGTGTTTCAGAGGGTCCTCCATAGAAGGGCAGCTGAATGGACTCCCGAGCAGCCTTAACTCTGCAGCCTGTATGCCCATCACCAGCTCCACAGGTTAGTGGCACCAGCTCCTCTGCAGGTGGGGCAGCAGGGAAGATGCTAGGCTTGGCACATTCTCTCTTCTGCCTCCAAAGAGAGCACCAGTTCAAAGGAAGAAGTATCCAGATTCTTAAAGCTTTGACCAATTGGCATTTTTGTGTCATTCTTCTTTAAAATAATTTTTAAAGCCTAGGATAGGCATTTTCTAGAACTAGTTTAGGGTGATTGAAACTCCCCAGTCTGGTTGAATGCTTTCAGATTTGCAGTGTTTAGTAAAAATGC